TGTTGCCAATACTCCTCCTAAATGTTATCATCTTAAAGTATATTATTATTATGTAACCTTGATCGGTGATCGCAAAATAATACAAGGTTCTCTCAATGACCGTGTATAATAATTTATGATGGGTGTAACATCTTTTTTTTTATTACAATGTATTATATATTATTATTATATTGCCGGATTAGGTTTTGGTCATAATTTTTATATATATGTATATCTTGTATACTTTTATCAAATATCAGCGAATCGGCAAATCGTTACAGTCGACGATAAATGTATATATTATACGACAAACCCGCCTCCACACCATAACCTATACCAACGGTTTAAGATGGATGTGTATAATAGTACCTACAGGTGTATCGATTAAGAACTACTTTCAAATGCAATTTCATAAATTATCATTTATTATTCATAGCGACCAATCCTATCTTCTAACACTAATCCGATGATGTATATCTTAAAAGATACCTTAAATTTTTAAATTTWAAATACATGCTCAAAAAACAAAAAAATAAAAGTAATTAATGTCCACGAATAGGTAAATCATATTGCGAGTAAAATKTATTGTATTTTGTTCTCATAATATTATATAATGCATATTAAATTTAGACGGATTTAAACGATAACGTTAAACTGCCGATCAATGCTTATTACAAATAAGTGTATTAAAAAAAATTTTATTTTCATAAATAATTACAAAAAAAAAAGTTATATGAATAAAATAATGTCTATATATGATTTTAATACAAAAAATTGGGAAAGTAACTGCTCTGTACTTCAGTAAGTGGTTGATGTAATGCATGTCTAAACTCGAATTCAATGATAAATACAAACAATTCTGAGCATAAACGATTCGTCAGCCAATAATATTATGAAATAGCCTGTACATTTTATGATATTATATGATGTTGTAATTTAATTTATTATTAACATTACAAATTTTTCGGTTCCAGTATAAATTAATAATGAATAAACTCCGTATTAAATGCCCAAGCCTTAGTTACAAAAATTGATCATTTTATASATTTTTGACAACCATATAATTTGCAAATTTTTGTGATACGGCCAAATTTTGAGAAAAATGAATTTCAAATGGTATTTAAGAAATGAAAAATAAGTATAAAATAAAAGTTTGTATAATTAAAAACAAATTGCAAATAAAATGCCAAATGCGCTGATTGATACAGCTGATAAAACTCAGGGAAATAAAAAACACAATTTTAAACTGGCAATACCCAAATCACTGCAAGAGAGGAAAAWTTATAATTAATCGTCTACGAATAGGCCAACATAAGGCTGACTCACAAGGTCTTTATAGTCAAAAAGAAGCCCCCTCATTATGTATTAAACAAAAATACTAATAACCTTTGCTGTTGATGTTTTTAAGATCAATAAAAAAAAGTTTCTATAATTTCGCTCAGTTTTACACATAATAAACAAAATTTTTTATTCACTTAATAGTAATTATATGATAACAATCTGTGAAAGTTAGTCATTTTTCGAATAATTAAACCAATTATTTTATTAATCCTGAGATATGTTCTTTGAAAAATTAACTTTAAACAATTTATCTAAACAAAGACTTTTTAAAACTTTTGATTCGAAAAGAAAAGGTTAGATTAATATAATTATTATTTTTGCTTTTTAAACAAATTTAATTATTTATAAAATATATTGTTCGCCGTTTTTGTCAGACAATGAATTTGTTTTATTTTAAGATATTTGTAATGAAATTGTTAGGCATACAAATAACTTTGCTTACATTTTGAACTTAAGTTCTGTTGTTTGTTTCGTACTTCATATTACCATTCATTATTTGCATTAAATTATTTAAATCTCTTATGATCTCTRCAGAATGATTCGCTTAAAACTAATAGTTTGTGAAAAAATATATAAATTATAAATAGTAAAAATAAGTGAAAGATATGTTTGAACTTCAAACAAATAGTAGGTACCTACATAAAATATTAAAATATTTTAATAATATTATGCTTATATTTATCTTGAACACGTAAATAGTATTATAATTTATATAAACAATCAGTTCTAAGAACAATTTTACTGGTGATAGTTGATTTTKAATTTGAATTGTTTGAACTTAAAAAGATTTAAAGATACATACACCAATTATTTGAAGTATTCAGTATCTTTTCAATTTTAAGGTTGTCGATTAAAATAATCCTGAAATTATAGTTTCAAATAGATATTTTTAAATAATATTAAATTAATAAATTAAAAATACATATGTATGTCGATACAGGTGACAAAAGACAAAAGTGAATAAATAAATGAATATTTTTCTTTGGTTGAAATTAAAATAATAAAATCAAACTTGACCGGATATCGGGATGGTTATCGACTGTAGAATAATTCTAACATTCAATAGTAGAGTAATAGTAATTTAGAAAAACAATACCTATAGTTAACTAAGAAACTGTGGTTAGCGGATAGATTATATAATATATATACAGTATGTACATTAATTGGAGAATCAAAAGGTGGCTGTACGATTGATACATTTAATTATTGAAGTAATGATTATACATTTTTTGTTTTTGCACCTATTCTATACTACTCCTTGTATACAGATTTTATAACTTTCAATTAAATTTTCACCAATTGTTTGTTTTGAAGTAATATTATTTTATTAATAAACAATTTTAGTGCTTGGTAGTGCCACCATCGATTTTCAGTTGTAGACTGTGCAATATGCATGGCTCCAACTGMATTAGCTTACCATTGTGTAACCTATACATTATGTCGTACATATAATACCTATTAATAATTTATTAAATGTATGTAATCCAGTGAAATGTTAAAATTATATTATTCTTTAATTATTTTTTAATCCTGAGAATATTAGTAATAGTGGTTTAATGAGACGCCATCTCAGCCTTATCATTTTCTTTACACGATATAACTTTTAAAATATTTTGACTCGTATTGAGCTATTTTTATGGACATTTGAAATTTGAAATTTTAGATTCTGAGTGGAGCGATGAATGCATTGATTTTACAATGATGTGTGTTTTTTATATAGGTTTTTTTGTATATGTCTGCGATACGATAAGTTGTCGAAATAGTTCTTCGATTTTAAATTTCAGTACCTAGCTTTTCTTTTCCGGTTGGAAAGTGAGTCTAGTTGGTGCGTCGGAGAGTTAAATTTTATAGGTATCTTCATTTTTTTTTTTTTTTTTAATAATAACAATAGGTACTAAAATAGTACCTATAACATATCCTAGACTGACAAACCGTCTCCGCTCAGAATCGTTTTTCGATTACAATGATATTATATCATTGAATTCAAATATACCATTCATTACAATAACTCTCTTGTAAGATCGATAAAAAAAWTTAGTAACCATTAATCATAAAAAATTATAACATGGAATTTTTTTAATAAAATTTAAAGTTAAACTATTAAAATAAACATTTTTCCAATCAAATGCATAAATATTCTTAAAACTATATATTTTTAATACGTTCCTATTTCATAGAGAAACCGATATTCCAAAATATGTTTTGTTGTTTTTTAGAAAAATTAATGAGTGAGTGGAATTTAATTTTTGTATATTGTAATTTATTATACTATAGATAAAACAATTTTAAAATGTTTTATATCTATTATTTTACTGTGTATAGTAATATACTAAAAAAATAAAAATATTTTTATGTAATTGTGGGGGACAAGCCCCTTCCTAACATTTATCAAATAATGGGAGGAACAAATCACAACTATGTCACTGGATCCGAACAATAATAATAATAAATACTGGTTAATAAAATAAATCTGTTAAAGATACGTAATACCAATCATACGAGTATTTAGATAACAATTTTTAGTTACACAGTTTGGAAATATTTTAATATTTTACTTATTGTGCATAATCAGTAATCACAAAGACTCAACTGTAAAGTAAAATATACGATTGTTAAAATGTATTATTATTAACTTTTAATAATTGTGTTATTAATTATGCATATGTCATATTAGTCGTTATCTAAAGTAAATATGCTTTTGTGTCACCACGAGAAAATGATTATAACTTAAAAATTAGAATGAGAAATATTTCAATTCTCCATCCATGAAATTCGAATGATTGTTAGTTGTTTGTATTATATTTAAAATAAATATTGACTATACTATTACTGTTAATGCCATTACTCTTATAAAAGTTATTGTTATTATTATTACGATGGTATATAATTTTCCAAATTACACTCCTCAATAATAACCATATCCAACTTTATACGATGTGTAAGTTTGCTTACAGTATTAAGTTTTGTTATTTTTATTGTTAGTCATATGTAAGACATGTTAACAATATAAAAATATTGAAAAATACATTACATTTTAAGAAGCGACAATGGCTAAGTTATCAAATCAAAAATTTGATGATCAACTAAGGAAATATAAAATATATTATACTAGCTAATTTGATATATTGTTTGCAGGTKATTGATCGGGATGTTCAAGAATTGGAGAAATTGAAAGACCCGACAGGTAACTTATAAAATTTAAATAGTTTGACGATAGAATGTTCAACGAATTAATTTTTTTGTTAGGACCGTTGTCTGAATCAATTTCAATGATGAAAACACAAGAGTCTTCGTACGTGAATAACAATGGCAAAGAGATAACTGATGCTAAAATCAAACAACAACGTTAGTATTAACACAAATTACAAACATTTATTTGATATTGCTTACATTCAATTTTATGTACACAAAGCACAACAGAAAATGGCAAAATAGATAGTTAAAAGATTTTAAGTTTGACGTTTTTGATAAACTATTATGTATAACTGTTATTATGTATAACTGTTATTATGTATAACTATTATGTTCGTTCGATGTTTTTTTTCAAAATGAAACTCATTCATACATATAGTTTTCCCACCCAAATAGTAAAATAGAAAAAAATTAATAACAATTTTCATATCAACATATTTAAAAAAGTGTAAAATATGTTATATTTAAATATAAGAAAATATTTACAATTCTTATTGGTATATGGTTTCTGCAAACTAAAAACTATAAGTGTGCTGAATAAAAAGCTAGAAAGTCTCAGTATACACGCATTGTATAGTAGGATGTGTTCATGTTAAACATACAAATTTTGTGGTCTTAGATATTAAACTKTAAACATCCACTTGAAAAGAAAAATGAAAAACTGTCCATAAAATACAAGAATAGTAACACATAATGCGTGTTCTGTTACAGTTACCTAAGTCATTGTAAACATAAATGAATAAAATTTTTATGATAATATATTTATTTATATATTTGTTATTTATGCTCAACTTGATACACGGTTARGCTACATTTAAGTATAATTTCAATTTTTTCAAAGATAACCGATTATATCAGTTATGCCTTTATCATACAGGGTGATTATCCACCATTTTTAGATTCTGAGTGAAGCGAGGAATGTATTAGTTTTACAATAATGTTCATTTCTTTTTCTTTTTTATTCTGTAAACACCTTTTCTCCCTCTAAACTTGCTCAAAAGTATCAAGTTTCTTTTCTGGAAGGTAATGTTCTTGAGCTGGTATTTTAGAAAGGTCATTTTTCGATTTTCGAAACGTATTCGAAATAAAAGTTGTTAAAGGAGAAAAAAGTACGATTTCACAATTTTATAATGTTACTTATAAATAATTACGGACGACGGCGACGCTTTTTTTTTCTGAAATTATAACAATATAATTAATATAGTATAACATATCCTAGCCTGATAAACCATCTCCACTCAGAATCGTTTTTCATATATAATGATATTACATCATTGAATTCAAATTGAATACGATCTATTACAGTAACCCACTTGTAACCTACTGTACTGCAGAGCGACGTATTTATTATTTAATACACTAAGTCAAATAATGAAAAAACAACTCATTTGAATTTTGTATACATCAAAAGTTTCAAAAAAATTATCCACTAAATAATATGTTGCAGTAAGAAAGGGGGATTATAATTTGAAAAACACGAATCCCAAATTCTTAAGTAGTACGAAAATCTCACAAATTTAAAAATATATTTCTGAAATTATATTTTAAAATTCTAAAAATCCGAAAAAAAGGAGCAGAGCACTCTTGGTGAATTATACTCTATACATGAATAAATGAAACATGTGTACACATGTGTTACTAAAATATGTATAATATTTTAAAATTACAAACATATTGTATTATACGGTAGTACGCCATACACACTGTATTGACACGAGTTTTGTCGGTCGATTTAGTGACTAAAAACGGCGAGCTGATGGCCAAACTGGAGCAAAAAATTTCGTCGAAAAACGAGCATGACAAAGGCGGTCGACCTGATACGAAAGTACAGTTGTCGGTGGACATACCAAGCAAGGGCATACACAAACAGACGATGTACACGTCGGACGGCGAACCGCCGAGGAAACGGGACAGCAAATACAGAGAATACGACAAAAAAAACTACGTAAGAGTCGTGAGAACTTATGCTCATTCCAAAATCCCCTTCTATATTTCTATAATAATATACGAACATCAWATTGTCAGGCAAAAATTAGACATCTATGATGAATATTCCAAGCAATGAGGACCCTTCGTTTGCCGTTCGACTATTATATTAATATACTCTATGGGTCTATGATGTTACATACTTTATAATTTTTTAAAGTCGAGTAAAATATGTAAATATATTTCTAAAGGGTTRTAAATCAAATAACAATAATAAGAGTCTCATACAGATGAACACGTTTGATAATTGCATGTTTTTAGTTACAAAATGAGTACCTTTATCGAATAAGAATTCGTTTTCCAAGTATCGTAAATATTATCTGTTTGGGTATACTTTCGCAGGACACGCAGTTCCCTCTACCAGTGTCGTCTTACTTCAACGTGGAAGCGACACCCGAGGATATGGCGGAATACATTTTCTTCACAAAGGACTTCAAATCAGTGACGCAAGCAATCGAGAAATTAATCCAGGATGGAAGGGTCAGTACAACAGCTCTTGCTATTATATATATTTTAAATGTCTTTTCTTGCATTACTGTCAAGTAATGACGTTAGATTATTGTTTGTTTTTTTTCTAATGCTTTTCAATAATAAAATAATTATCATAACACGGCGTCATGGATAGGCTATTTAGGTACACCGTTGTTGCTAGTCCGTTTCCTGATGGTGTTTAATAAATTGTTATGGTTTGTTAAAAATATAAAATAAGATACTATTCGAAAACGTATACCCAATGCCATGTCCAGGAATTTTCAATGAGTGGTGGGGTTATAAATAATAATACATTTGAAAGAGTTGTCGTGGTAATACCAACAATATAAATAAGAAAGCTTCATCCCTCCAAAATCGTTTCTAGATTATAACTGTGTAAATTTTTTAATTGTTCTATGGTTGAAATGAATTTATATGGTATACCTATATGTAAGGCTATAATATTAATGTAGGTAAAACTCTTTGAGATACTATCAGTAGTTGTTAGTACTTAGTATATGAATTATTAATAGTAGGTAGGCTTTGTTAATTTTTGAAGGAAAAATTTTTTAAATGGTTAATAATTACATAAATAATAATACAACAAATATACCTATTATAAATTTGACATTATATTATAAAGTACCTACATAGTATTCATAAAAACGAATAAAAAAAAAAAAATTACAAAATTATTAAGTAGGAACAATATAATATTAAAGGTAGCAGAAAGRTGGTTTTATATTGGCAATTTACATTATCCTCACTATATTTTCAGCCTCTTGATGACACAGCAATTACCCGTGCATACAGGTACATAAGAAGGATACGTTTGGTTAGTGGAAATACAAAATGTATTCGCTTATCAAATCTATGTTGACTAGAACTCTTTTGCCACCTAGGCAGGACAATTTAAGAAATAAAATGATAGGAAGATAATCAAGCAGAAAGTGATGTATTTTTAAYAAATGCGCTGAAAAATACAGGAGTTTACACTGTAAACGCTCAACAAAATAACTATAATGATAACTATGATGACTTATAGCGTATGCGGATACCACAATACAGATGCATATTATAAAATATTGCGTACTAGTTCACWGATATTACAAAAACTTATTAGGTGCAAGGTACAACTATAATGTATACTAAGCACAAACACGCTTAACATAACCATAAAGTTTTAATAACTTACAACAAAATGCTTCTATATTATAGTTTGGTATCAAAAACAATGGCTACGACATTAATCATATTTCCAGCACAGTGCACGTGTTTCCATGATCCACTAATATCACAATGAAAAATACTAGGAGAACGGGATAAAAATATCGACGTAGAATTTCATTCACAAACATTATTGAGATAAAGCCCAATATTGTTTCCGGCATTGACTGTAAAATACACCAATAAAATATCATACAAATCACTTAATTAGAAATTAGTTATGTGAATCTGTAATTACAATAATCACCGAAAACATTTATAATTATATCTTAAATATTTAAAAACTTAAAACAACAACTTAAATAAAAAAATAAAATAAAAATAAAAAGTTCAATATTGATAAAAAAAAAAACTTATCTGATTAAATTGAAATAATTCATTTTCAGATAATTTTTTTTTTCACCTGATGTACATTTTTTAAAACAAAACATGTCATCTATAGATTTTTGGAATATGTATAGGTATTATTTCCATAATAGTATATGTGATCACAATATAATCTGTCTCTGTTGGAAATAAAAATCTATAACGAAAAMTTGCACTTGCTTTTTATTCCTTAARTATAACTAATAAATTATTCATTTATTATTATTTCTAAAATTAATACAATATTTTTTCGCTTAGTACCTACCGTTATGTTTAATATAATATAGCGCAGGAGAGTAAAAATACCGTAAAACAAACAAAATTATCAATATTAACATAAATGTTCTGCACAGAGGCCAGCAATTATTATAATATATTAACGTCACTTGACAGTTTTTTCTCTTGGAAATATTAAATTTATGTATATTTTAATAGAGTTGGTAAATGAAATAAACCTTAAAACAGMCGTCTGTATTTAATTGTTTAGCCAAAGTGACATTAAAACTCGATAGAATTCAGTAATTTAGTTACCTACATWTATTTTCATTATAGCTGTAACATATAATTGAAATTCGGTCTATAGAATTTGTATAAATACTTTTTCAAATATAATAATAATATCTCCCTGGTTAAGTTCATTTTAGAAATGTGAGATAAAAAAAGACCTGTCTATTGGTTTTAAAGTAATTTAGATTAAGGATCAACACTTTTTGTGGGTATTGAAACACTGAAACCCTAAACAAGTTACAAATTTCATGTTAAAACAAAATAATATAATAAACGAGCAATTACATATTTTAAGACAATTTTTCTCTTAAATAAAATAGGTTCTCAAATCTAAGTTCTTACAAATTGTAGAACTCAATGACAATATTATTATAATTTCTTCACTGTAATACCTACTATTTTGTCTTCTGAATATTATTTTATTTTTTCTAAACTGTATTATCATGCATCAGCGTGCTGCTTTTTGTGAATTATTGAATTATTATTTTCTTGCCGAGAGACGAGAAATATTTCTRCTATATATATTAACTTTTGCGATAAAGTGATGCGGTTTGTGGTTGTACCCATTCTGTCTTAGTTAATCGATAACGGTGAAAATTGATTCAACATTCCATTAAATAAAATATGATTAAACTGATTAAAAGCAAAATACACAGTTAAACGAATTTAATAATTAARTGCATTATAATAATATTATATAATGTAATTATTGTTAGTTCATCTGGCAAGTTTTGATCACACYGAATCCTTTCAACGACAATTATAGAGTGTCCAATCATTATTAACTACTATACGAGTAATTTTATTTATTGTACCGAATCAGGTATGTTTAAGAAGAATTAATATTCACTATTCACTAATTAATTATAAGTATAAATATTAATAAATTGTACACGTAATGTCATAGAAGCGTATGTTATTTTCTCATCAAACATTATAATATTGATTAAAAGAATAAAAGAAAAACGAACTTCTCGTTGTTGAAAATTTCAACATAATATAAATTAAAAGGCTTCAAAGAAAAAAGAACTTATATACATAGTATATACAATATACATGTTCGACCTGGAGCGTAAAGTACACTGTGCACCATTTATTTCTCATGAATAGGGCGATGAAACATTGCCGGTGCCCAGTGGAAGTAAAAACTTTAATAATATTACTTTTTTATGGATGAAAAAGAATATACTTTCATGATATTGTATACATGGTTGGATAACATATACTCCTACGTTTTTTCTCCTCGAAATCGAATTCGACAGCAGTTTGTTCTGAGACTTTATATATATATCTCTAGTAAACAATAACACCAACACACACACAATTAAACTATAGTTGATTTTTTTTATTTTAATGTAAATATACATAGGTATAAGGTAATGTGTAGAATACGGTCGTAAACCGTAAAAATATTGTAATAGTAAGTACTTATAAATTGTAAGTGTAATTGTATTCTACAATTACAGCAATACTTATAATTTAAACATGTTTTACCTAGACCATACCCTGAATTAAGTATATACGGTTGTAATAACTAATAATATGTAGCCAGTAGGTAGGTAATGTTTGTATACCTATATTGTTTTCTGCTTTTCAGCTTTCACTACCTATATCACATTGCATTGCACTACGACTCGCCTAAAACTTCGACATATATCAGCTCTGACCTCGACGTAAAATTAATATTATATTGTTTTATAATATTATTTTGACAAGTCGTCTGATGGTATAAGAGTCCTAAAAATATAACGAACTGCAGATGATGATCATCATCGTTGAATACATGGGATTGTTTTTCATGTCAACGTCAAGTATAATTCCCCGTGCGTAATATACCATACCGGTGTTTGACAGTGGGGATTTTTTTTGAAATATTTATTTATTGTTCCCATTTACCTCRGTATACGAACATTCAAAATATAAGCAATGTCATCCTAATGACACTCGTCCTCGTTTTATTTTTTTTTCTATCGATTTCCACGAGTATAGCGTTCCCTAAACGTGATATTACGTCATTCGACATCCGTATAAATAAAAGTACACTATTCGATATTAGACAAAAAGTGTCAGCCACGCCGTGCCAATACTGACAAAAGTTTCTCCGAAAAGACAATTTAACGTCGGTACAACCACGCGATAGGTACAAATTATTATTATTTATACAGAAAGTATTGGCTATTGATATCATAAGCACAGAATTGCAACGTACAACATTACAAAATGTTGGAACTGTAAGTCTTTTTAGAATGTTAAAATCAAGGTTGAAAGTTCCTTTTCAAGTGTAACTTTCTAACTTAACGAGTTTAATTCCGCCATGCATAAAAATATAATAATACAAACAAACGCCTTAAAAACAAAATAAATAGTAACTAGTTAGTTTTTTAGCAAAAGTTATACATGCAATGTTCTGTAAAACTGTCAATTACCAACTGGATTATAAAAATAATAATTAATATATTTGTATTTGCTCTTTTTTGATAATAAATACTTTCCTTATAATAATATTTTATATAAACTTCTAAATAATTAAGTTACAAATCGAGGAAATTTCAGGAACTAACATTTATTGTAACATGATATTAATTCGTATGTTAAAGTAGAGTCGTAACTTAACTATTTTAACTAGTTGAAAAAAAAAAATATTAACTTTCCTAGATTTATAGAGTAGTAATTGCAAATCTTCACACGTATGATCAGTGCTGGATTAAACATTATATTATGCATTATAATTTATAGTCTATAAACATTAAACAATGATATTCCATGGTATCAAATAATTCAAAATTATTAGAATTTTTTTTTTATCTTAATCTTTATTAAAGCATAACTAATAAGACGTTGAATAAGTAGCATAATCAATGTGACTACGCATGGTGTCTTATAATATTATTATGATGCGCATTACAATA